GTACTGGGGCTGGGGGCAGAGTGCAGAGGGCACTGAGGCCCTGCCCAGGGAGGGCGCCTGGCAGGAGTCTGGCTGCTCACCTGGGGTCGTCAGCTCTGCTAGCGGCTCAGTCTTCCTGCTGCACCTGTCACTCAGGCTGCCCAGTCGCACTTGGCAAACCTTGCCCCGATGAGGGCGGAGCTGCGCTGATGTGGGGTTCTGGGGTAGCACACTTGCCCGCAGGGCCAGATGTGAAGCTCCCTTCGGATCTGCAGTTGCCTAGAATAAAACCTAGCAAAACCCCTTGTGTTGGGTGCCTTCCTCTTGTCAAAAATGTTCTTTGGGGAAGAGCAAGAGGGAGAAGTGCTTTTCGTTTACTTTTTTCCTTTTTTTTTTTTTTTTTTTAAGTGTTGTAAATTTTATTTTCAAAGTTTAATCAATAAGGAAAAATAAAGCAGACAAAAAAGTACCAAAAACAGGGTAGTTCTTCATATGTGGACAAGATCCAAACAGTGTAGATTCGTTTCTAACAAATTCAATCCTCCTCACACATTTAAAATGCAAAGTATGTGTGTTTCACTCTGTCAAGAAACTGACCACATTGGGCCAGGAGATAGCTCAGTCGGATAGCACCTGCTAGCAAGCACACGGTCCCAAATTTAATCCCAGGTACAGAACAGGAAGGAATCTAGTTTGATTTCTAATCGTGACCGCCATATCCCAGAACAATCAAAGATGGAATCTGGGGGCCAGGGAGCTGGCTCAGTAGAATAAGTGCTTCCTTGGCAAGCACAAGGACCGGAGTTCATTCCCCAGTTCTGGAAAAAAAAAAAAGAAAAACCAACAAACTTTGAGGAGTCTTAAGTGCCTGCCTGGCAAGCACAAAGATGGGACTTTGGTCCCCGTGCCAGCCCCAAAACCAGGCATGGTGGTACATGCCTATAATCCCAGTGCAGGGGAGGCAGAGGCGGGAGGATCGGGAGGATTGCTGGGAGTCCAAACTGCGTAGTGAGACCATGTATCAACCAAATCAAATAATTAACTTTGAAAAGACATTCTCCCCTCCAAAATGACATTCCCATAAGTTACCAATTCACAAGTGATTTAAAGGATTAAAGTCTTAAGTGGCTACCACTTGGTGTTGCAGCCTGCCCTCCTGCCAAGATTTGACTTACCTGCAGTGCTTGCTCCAGTTACTGAGCTAAAAAAGCAAGGTCTGTGTTGGCCTTGGCTTGAAAGTGACTGTCAGTTTAATCTGTGGCCTGAGACTCCTGCTATCTGTGCATCTCCATTTAGGGCTGCATATCTCCTTTCTGTGGCGCAGATAAAGCTGAAGCAGTAATTTAATTCTTCTGAGAATCCCAAAGCAGAAAGTCTCGAAATCCAGTGCAGGCACCATAAGCCTCGAGCTCTCAGGAGTTAGGTCACTGCCTGCTGGACAGTGCCTTCATAGATCCTCAGCTTGGATCCCTGCCGCAGTGCGCGCGGACCCCAGGACCACCGCACTGTGCACTTGGGCGAGTGCTCTGCCGGGCCAGTCTCCAGCTTTTTGTAACTAACCAGTTAGGTAAAGAAGCAAAGGTGTATTTGGGCTTGTGGTTTCAGAGGTCTGTAGTCAGCTGGCTTGAAGGAAGAAATGGCACAAAGGAAGAGCAGGCCAGAGAAGCTGGGCTCTTCGGGGAAGCCAAGAGACAGCAAGAAGTTGGGGGGGGGGGCGGGCTAGAAGGATGTGGCCACCCCACTAACAAACACACGGGGGGTCATTGTGTCATGACGCCAGAGCCCTCCTGAGCCATTCAGTTACATCCACTGAGACACGTAGAATGTCAGCCTCTGCTCTGGAGAGGTGACGGCCAGCAGTGCAGGCTGACCTGCACTTCACTTAGGAGTAGGGCAGACAAGAAGGGAGGGGCCTTGCCAGGTGTGGTAGGATACACCTGTAATCCCAGTACTGGGAGGCTGAGGCAGGAGGATCGTTGTGAGTTCCAAGACCAGCCTGGGCTACAGAGTAAGCTCAAGGCCAGCCTGAACTGCACAGACACCCTGTCTCAAAAAGACAAAGGGGGCTGGGGAAGGGCGGGAAGAGCCGAATCTGTCAGGTGCTGGTCTCTGTGAGGTGTGCGACAGGTGAAGGAGGCCAGGCTCCAGGAGTCCTTGGTAGCTGTTGCAGGTGTTGGGTACGCCTGGAATCCCAGTCCCAGGGAGGCTGAGACACAATCACTGCAGGTTGTGGCCAAGCTAGAATAGACAAGAGCAAGCTCCAAAAAGTAAAAATGTCGGCTTCGACACCGTGCGTGCGGGCCTCCTCTGTCCTATTCGTGAATATTCTCACCTCCCAGGCGTTGAGTAGCTAATGCAGCCAGCCTCCTGCCTGAACTGTGGGGAAGGAAGCAAACTCCGAGGTGCAAACCTGGTCGTCCGGTAAAGCTACCTTTCTTGAAACAGGGACGTAATTGTGTTGAGCACTTGGACCATGGGTGCCATTTCCTGAGCACTTGTGTGCCAGGCATGGTTTTAAGTTTTTCATGTAAAAATGAGTCCTCATCCAGCACTGCGGAGTGTGCTCTCTGGTCTACAGACGCTCAGAAGGAGACCAGAGAAGGGTGGTCACAAAGCCAGGACACGAACCTAAACATGTTCCGGCAGAGTCCTTCAGAGCCCGCTGAGGGGTGCTCTTTTGCCCTTAGCACCTAGTTGGGCTGTGTTCCAAGTCCCTGTCACCTGCAGTGTGGTTTCCACCAGCCTGATGCACTCAGGCTCCCGCCACCGCCTCCCAGACCTGTAACCTGGACAGAAGCTCCTGCTGACCGCCTCAGGCCCTGCAGGCACCGGGGCACCCGGATGCGGGCGTCCTGTGTGCTGCTGCTGCTGGCCTTTGCAGAAAGCCTGCCTGGTGAGCTGAGCAGACAGGAAGCAGGCTGTCAAGCACAGGGAGGTTCAGTGAGGCCTAGTGTCACATGTCCCCTTCCTGCCCCACGGCTAAGGTCCTCGTGGACATGACGTATATCTATAATCTCAGTGTACTGGGAGGCTGAAGCAGGAGGAAGATTGTTATGTTTGAGCCCAGCCTGGGCTACATAATGAGTTCAGGGCCAGCCTGGACTGCATGGCAAGATCTTGTCTCAAAAAGACAAAAATGAAAACAGCTTTCTTCCCCTCCTTCACTTTTGCATGGCTTTTCCCTGGAAAAGCCGACATTCGGCTTTGCCTTCACCTGGGAAGCACATGCGGAAGAGATTGCGTGAGCTTACCTGCTGTTAAGGGGAACTATGACATGGTGGGCAAGGCTATGTCTCCAGTAGGGCGAAAGGGATGTAAAATTCAGTGGGCAGTTATTTTAGACAAGGGGCATTGGGAAGACTTCAAGAGAAGTGGCATTGTATGTGTTAGTGGGGTACACGTGACAGTTTCATCTGTGGGGCTAATGTGTAACAAGTCATGGTTCGCATTTCCACCTCTTCACCTTTGATTCTAGGTTTGTTTTTTTTTAAACCATGAGTCAAACTCAGGACCTTGCCCTTGCCAGGCAGGCACTCATGCTGCTGAGCTATATCCCTGGCCCTCTAGTTCCTTATAAAATGCCAGATACACTGTCAGAACTTACCCCCCCACCCCCCGTGCAGCTTGCTAAGGGACCTGTTCTCCAACTGCCTTCTGCTCCCTCCTCCTCCCTTGAGAGGTGTCCACGCTGTCGCTTAAGTGGGGCAAGGACATTTTACGTGAGGGTGACATAGAATGGAGGGAGGACATAGACAACAGCTTCTCTAGTGTGGCTGGGAGGTGGGCGAGGTGAATGCGGACAGGGATGGATCCTTCTGTTTCTAGAATAGAAATATTACAGGCTGGCAGACAGGGCCAGGCCCTCAAAGGAGATAACATGGGAGACAAGATACCTTGTAACTGGAAGAGGGACGGATGCTCCCGCTGTGGGCCAGACCTAGAGACCAAAGATCCAACAAATGCTGACTTCCCTAAAGATCAGCATCCAGCATTATCACCTTGGGAGCCAGGAAGAGTCACCAATCCGACTGCTGCCGGCTACCAGACAGATAAATTCCTGTTCTATAGTCGTGCCTGCTTGCTACGTGACTCACCTCCCCCATTCAGTCCTGATTTAATCAATTTTACCTGAGAAATGGTGCTTGTCATCTCACTGGTTGACCATAG